TAATGTAAGCAGCACAGTAGCCTTGGCTTCTTGCTGAGGCATGGGAGAAACTGCACCTCCTGAGCAGTAAGGAGAAAGGAATGAGGGAAGGTGCCCACAGATGAGAACAGCTCCAGCTTCTAAAGAAACACAACACTTGGTAATTACTAGAACTAAGCACATTCAAACGTCACTGCCTCTTGCACTGTCAGAGCACATTCATTTTGAGAAAATCAGAATGTGCTGGGCTTGCATTCTCCCTTCTCTTTTCATGAATCTGCCAACGTGTTCAGAAAAGGTCTGGTTTGAATACCCATATTAGAGGTGTATTAATTTTGAACTTGTCAAAAGGAATATTTGCATTGGAAACAGTTCTACAAGTTTGTCTGCATCACGAAGGGAACGAACCCCCTCCTGCTGGCTCTGTTCTGATTAGCTTGAGTTGCTTCCAGCTGAACTCGGGCACAGGCTCACTGGGCTCTACTCTCCAATCCTTCTGCTTTTCTCCCTTATTTAAAGACGTTTGAAGAAGCCAGGCTAAATATGATGGGAGCTAAACTCTTATTTTGGTTCTCCTCGCTTTGTAGACAAACCCTGGGAGTGTGGAAGGGCTGCAGACCCCGTGGATCCCTGTGTCTAATTGAAGCAGACAAGACTGTAACTCAGACTTTGCATATTTCAATGAAATATTCATGAATCCGGGAGAGAATAACCCGGGGTGAACATCAAGTTGTATAATCTGAATATATTCTCTATAACTGTCAGCAACACGCAGACAGCTCAGAAAATTCCGGGAAGGGTCTGTGCTTGTTGAGCAACATCTCACTGCTTTGGCTCTAAGGACAATGATGATTGTGTTTGCCCAGACTATTTAATTAGCAGATTTCCCAAATTGGGCTCTCAGGGACTGAAGTCCCCATTTACCCCATGTGGAAGCATGTGGCTTCCCGGGAAGGCTGGGAAGCTCCAGCTGCCACGGGAGTGGAGACCCCAGGCAGGCAGTTCCTCACTTTGGCTGTTTAATCCAGGCTGAAGAGCTGAACATTAAACACACCTTCATTAGATGATGCTCGTCTCTATTTCTGCATCGATTCCTCTGAAGACCTGCAGGTTAGGAGTGGGAAGGAAAATCAGTAATGGAGCAAAATGACTGTGATTTAGAGATCGGATTGCAAGCAGCCAGGGCCATGCATCAGGATAATGAGATTCAGTCTTGTTTGCTTACAAGCACTGGAGACAGAAGCAGAAAATGTGATCCACCAAGCCAGCTCTCAGGAAATGAGGAACAATAGAGTGAGGAAATCAAATTTCAAACGGCAGGGATATATTTATCGAGTTTTCCTTGGGATTTCTGCAGAGCTTTGGGGCGTTCTCTGGGCAGTGTTTTTTCGGGCAGCTGACATATGGCAGGAGGATTAGATCACTGCAAAGCACCGTTGGTTCTGACCTATTTGTTAATGCGGGGCTGGGGTCAGCGACAAGGGACAAATGCAATTGTCACTGTTTGGGGCTTTTCGAGTGCTGCTCCTGTTGTCCCTCGCACTGTGGCCAGACATTTGGAGCAAACTCATTAGCTAATTAGTGGTGTGCTCAGCCCCACGTGGGCGATATTCCCATTATGGCTGTGGAACAGGCCCTCCTGAGGCTCCCTGGCAGCTGCTCTTCCCTAGGTTAGTTGGGAGGGCAGCTGGGGGAGGATGTGCCTTCCTCATCTTCTCTGGGAGAGCCTCCTGCATTCCAGACATCCCATTCCTTATCCTCCTGCTCCTTATCCTCCTGCTCCTTGCCTACTCCCACTTGCTGGGTCCACTGCCACCAGCTTGTCTCTGGTGACCAGTGACAGGACCCGAGGGCACGGCGTGAAGCTGTGCCAGGAAAGTTTAGGTTATCAGGAAAAGGGTTTTCACCCAGAGGGTGCTGGGGCACTGGACAGGCTCCCCAGGGAATGATCATGGCATCAAGGCTGCCAGAGCTCCAGGAGTGTTTGGAAAACGCTCTCAGGCTCAGGGATTCACAGAATCACAGAAAAGTTTGGGTTGGAAGGGATCTCAAAAACCCTCTGGTTCCACCCCTGCCATGGCAGGGACACTTTCCACTATCCCAGGTTGCTCCAAGCCCTGTCCAGTCTGGCCTCGGACACTTCCAGGGATGGGGCAGCCACAGCTTCTCTGGGCAACCTGGTCTAGTGAAAGGTGTCCCTATCCTTTCTGTTGGATTTGATGCTCCCTGTAAGTCCCTTCCATATCCCAAGGATATCCTGGGAGTCTGTGAGCTGCCTTCTCCATGTGGATTGCTCTGCTGGTTATCAGGGTGGTGCCACAGCTCCTGGTGCCATCTCAGACTCCAAATCGTGGCCTTGGACTCTGGTCCTGCCAACGCAGCTGAAATATTGTGGGCTGGGAAGGATCAGAGATGGCTCGGGTCAAGATCCAGGTCCAGCCTGCTCCAGAGAGGGATGGGGCAGGGCTGCACTGGGAAGTGTTCTGCACCAGCTCCTGCCTTTAAAAACAGGACAAATGCAGTGACCTCCTGTTGCTAATAGGAAACAAGAGACATAAATCCACTGCCACGAGTCTGCTCAGGGGCCACCAGGAGGGAACATCCCTGTGCAGCCTGGGCAGAGCTCTGCTGGTGCAGCTCTGCCACTCATGTACCTGCCCAGGGCAGCAGGAACACTGCGCTTTAAGGCATTAACACTGATATAATAATCAAAAATTAAGTGATTTTACTTGGTTGGTTTGTTTTACTCGCACTAAGGGGCTTGATCTGGTTGATAGAGAAGTGTTTTTTTGGTGGAAGTGTGCCAGCTGCAGGAGGTTTTTGCTGGGTTTGCTGATTTGCACACTTAATGATGTAGACAGACACCTGGGATGGAGCTGGGAATGGAGAGGAAGCTGCCTCCTGCTCTGGAGAGCTGTCTGCCCAGATCTGGAAGGAACACAGGCAGGAGAGAAGGCAGCAGGAACAACCCTGTTCTTCCCATTTTATTTTAACCAAGAGCTTTCTTCTCCTCCTTTAGAGCTGTCAGCACCTGATCATTAGGATTAATGAACGTGCACAGAAACATTGGGTTTCCATCATTGCTGTTTTCTTGCAAAGAAGAAAAGGGGGAAGTATTCTTTCAGCTCCTGCTGATACCATCAGACGTGTGCTGATCCCTTATTTTTTTCACCCAGAATTTAATCCTGCCTAGCTCAAGGTTAACAGCTAAGCCAGAATCACAGCTTGCTGCAGAAGATTCAGAGCTTCCCAGCTCCCAGATGGTGTTCAAGGCATTGGAATGTGCAGCATTTCTAAACAAGTTGCTTTTAATGCAGCTCACCCGGCGTTTCACTGCAGTCCCCGTTCTTCTGTATTTAAACCTCAAATCTGTGGCAGATTTCATAGTGGCTCCATGGGAGGAAGGGCTGGGCTCTAAGTGGTGGATGCTCCATCCATGGAAGTTTCCAAGGCCAGGTTGGATGGGTTTTGGAGCAGCCTGGGACAGTGGGAGTTGTCCCTGTCAGGATTTGGAACGAGATGATTTTTAAGGTCCCTTCCCAAACCCCTTGTAGGATTTGATGAAGTTTGCAGCACTCAGCCTGACCTTCCTTTCGCTTAAAAGCAGTGACTCATAAACTGGATTTTGCTCCACATGTCTGTTTTCCTATGCTTTTGTAAGGCACGATTCCTCAGGAATTGGGGTTTTAAATAACCAGCAGCAGATCCAAGCAGAGCTCTGCTCTCCAGCTTCTCCCCTGGCCCGCACCAATCCTGACTGTCTCCCGAGCAGCCGTGTCCCGTTTCCTTGAATTGTCTCCTGGTTTTAAGATGGGAACAAATATATTCAGGGAGGACTACAATGGGAGCAGAGCCCTCCTCCAGCCCGTGTGCCAGACACAGGTTTAGTCATTATCCCAAGGGGAAGGACGTGTGCTCCGACCCACCCAGACCCTCCGGCTCCTCCTGCCACGTTCGTGCCTCTGTGTCCCTGCTGAGCTCCTCTTCATCACCCAGCATGGTGACCCTGATCCACAAATGTGCCCATAAAGTGTCCCCTTAGCCATAAATGTGGTTATTTTATACTGGCATCTGCAGTGGGAGTATCTGTGCTGTGTGAGGCAATGGGAGCTGTGCCAGGGAGGTTCAGGTGGGACATTGGGAGAGATTTTCTCATAGGAGGAGTGAATAAATATTGGAATGGGCTGCCCAAGGATGTGGAGGAATCCCTGGCCCTGGAGGTGTTTAAGGAAAGGCTGGATGTGGCACTCAGTGCCACGGTCTAGTTGACAAGGGAGTGTTGGGCCACAAGTTGGGACTTGGTCTTTTCCAAACTAATTCATTCTATGATTCTGCTTTGGGGGCTGCCAGCCCACACTGAACCTCGATTTTTGGGGGACAGCCCTGCCCTGAAATCAGTTTCTCCTGGGTGCTGTGAGTGTGGAGGGGGAGTGTGCTCCCCAAGCCTTCTCCTGCCATCAAAGCCAGCCCCAGACCTGCTTTAAAGTGTACCCTGATCCATAAATGTGGTTATTTTATACTGATAGTCATTATTTTGTATTTTTCGTCCCTGGATTTTGGGGGATCTCTAGCCCTGAACCCAGTTCCTCCTGGGCTCTATGAGCACTGAGGGGGATCCCCAAGCGCTCTCCTTCCATCAAACCCAGCCCCGCACCCTCTCTAAAGCGTCCCCTGACCCATAGATGTGGCTATTTTGTAATGATAGACTTGTTTTGTATTATTTCACCCAGGTTTTTGGGGGACCCCTGGGCTCTGTATGCACTGAGGGCCCTCCCCAGGCGCTCTCCCATCCAAAGTCGCCCGGGGCCGATCCTGCCTCGCTCCGCGCTGGCGCCGGGTCCGGCTGCGAGGAGCCGCGCCAGGAGGGAGGGAAGGAAGGGAAGAGGGAGGGAAGGAGGGGAAAAGGGAGGGAAGGAGGGGACGGGCAGCGCCGCGTCCCCCCCGCCCTCAGCGCGGCCGCGCCTCGGGGCCGCGCGCGGCCGCCGGTTCCGCCTCCTCCGCCGCCTCCCCGCGGCCGCCGCCGCCATGTTGGATGGTGCGTGTGGGTGTCAAGCGCAGCCCGCGGCCGCCGGGCACCGGGACACCGGGACACCGCGCCCGCCCCGCGCCCGCAGGTCAGCGCGGCTCCCGCGGGCTGCGGGACGGGAGGGGGGAACGGGCGGGCGGCCCCCGCAGCGCCGCCTTTCCCCTCGGCGGGGCGCGGGGTGGGCGCGGGAAGGGCCCCCGGGGGTCCCCGCGGGGAGGGCGCGGGGCCGCGGTCGCCTTTGTTGTCGCCGGTGGGTGGCTGGGCGGGCGGCGGCGGGGACGGGCCGGGCCCCCGCGGCCCCGGGTGCGGGCCTGGTTCCCGATGGGCCTCCCGGGGCTGCGGGGGATGGCGGGGCCTGCGGGCTCGGGGGGCTCCCGGCGGCGGCGCTGGGGCGGGGGGGCTCCGCTCCGCCCGGTCCGACCCCCGCCCCGGCGTTGTTCACCTCCATCGTGGCGGGGCGGGCGGTATTTTGTTGTATTTTCAGTGATATCGTTGTTTGGGAAATGTGTGTTAATGCTTTTAATGATTTTTGAGGGTCTGTTTTATATAGGGGGCTTGGACTAGATGATCTCCAGAGGTCCCTTTCAGCCCTAATAATTCTGTGATTTTCTGTGGTGCTGTGATATTCTCTCTCTCTCTCCCTATATATATTTACACTGATACATACTTATATATATATATATTTTAAAAATTTTTACCTGCAGTACCTGTGATGCTAGAGATTAGGGTTGGGTAGCCAGCGAGCTGTATTACATTATTGCTGTGAAATATATTGAAACAGTAATTATCACAGGCTGCCCGCAATGGAAGTCCCCTATTTTAAAGCCGTAAGGCTTTAATGTAAATGTTAAAATATTCATGTTACGATTTAAAGCTCTAAGGCTTTAAAACTGGTAGCGTTTGGTCTCAGTTTTATGGGTGTGTAATGCTTCCCCCTCCCCCTTCTCGAGTACGGTATCGACAGGGATCTGAAAAGCCGAGTGAGATTTTAAATTTACAACAGTTGGACATATTTCTTGTCCTCATCTATTAAGAAAATAACCTGAATTATCTACATGCTCATCCATTTTCAACAGGAGGCCTAAAAGACTTGTTAGGATTGTGAAGCTGTTGCAGATGTTATGGGCTGTAGAGTCTGACTTGAGGAGTTCAAAATGCAAATCAGGCCATGAGATTAAGTTTTATTATTCTCTCCACTGAAATACTTGTTTGATGGTAATACAGAACTCTTGCATAATTCCAGTGTGTTGCTGTGTTTTGCGAGGCACAAGGTCATAGGAAATTGTATTGTTGGGGTGTGAAATGCGGGATGAATGATTTTTTAAAATCAGAAATGTATTGTAATGGTATCTTTAGCAAAATGCAGCCTGTTTAGGAGTTACTTCTAAATATGTTTGTCTTGGCTCATTCTCAGATGTGTTATTTTTGAACAAACTCAAGTGTAGAGTTTTATTGGGAGGAATCAAAACTTTTGATAAATTTTCCTTTATAGACTCCAAGTAATGGTAAACTAGCTCGACAGAATTTCAGCGATAATCTCCCCCGTATTAAATATTTAACTATGTTATCAAAAATTATCAAGCACAAATGACCCATGAGTGTGCATTCCTGAAGGCGGATTCTGATAAGGCCAAATTGACTGTGGGCTCCATTTGAGGAAGTTTGACTTGGGGGTGCTGATTGTAACTTCCTCTATTCCATGAAGTTACTCTGCAACATTTCACCTGTGTCACAACAGCTCTCTGACACAGCAGCTTGACTTTTACATCTGCTGAGGAATGGAAATTGTTATCAGCCTGTAAGAAATGCAAGGCAGCACTCACAGGATCTTTGAATCCTGGAATGGGTTGGGTTGGAAGGGACCTCAAAGCTCATCCAGTCCCACCCTGCTATGGCAGGGACACCTTCCACTGTCCCAGGTTTTTCCAAAAAAGGTCCAGCCTGGCCTTGGGCACCTCCAGGGATCCAGGGGCGGCCACAGCTTCTCTGGGAACCTCTGCCAGGGCCTCCCCACCTTCCCAGGGTGGAATTCCTTCCCAACATCCCATCCAGTGCTGCTCTCTGGCAGTGGGAAGCTGTTCCCCCTTGGCCTGTCAGTCCAAGCCCTTGTAAATAAATATCCTCTCTCCATGGACTTCTGAGAAAAAGCAGACTTGTTTCCTAGGTAGAAGCTAAGCAGGGGTGGGTAATATTTGGGTTAAAAAAATGCAGTTTATGAGTTACCTGATGGGTGTGGAAGGATTGGAGGAGAGACCCCTGACTGTCAGGTAGCCTGGCTGGTGATGTTCATGTTGGTTTTCACTTACATTATTCCTGCAGTCACATTTAATGAAGGGTTCACAAACATCTGATGTCCAGTATAATGCAGGCAGCAGAAATGAATTCAGCTTGCACTGACCACATCATTATTTACATAACTGGTTAATCATGCTAGTTTTGTTCCAGCTGTCAGCCATTTGATTGCTTTAAAACTTGGAGCTTTTAAGAAGCCTCAAATCTTGGATCACTGCTGGGAAATGCCAAAGGCCTAATTTGTTACTTCATAAAAATGCTGATAGTCTCTCTTGATACAGAAATCGGGGTTTTGTTTCTGTGGTTGGTTTTTTTTTTTTCCTTTAGAGAGAGAGAGAGAGAGAGAGCAATCATTAAATGATAATCAGTTTAGGGGAAATACATTAAAGAGTAGTTATGATGTTCCTGAGCTTGCTTTTCTTAGGTCTCCTACGTGGGATGGGGAAATGACTCTGGCTTTTGCTTGGTGTAGAAGAATATAAGTTACTCTAATACCTTTCTTTAATGACTGGTACTCAGGAAGCAACTTCCCAGTCTTGCAGGGCCATATTTGCAGAGTGCTAAAGTGTCCCTTGGGATGTTGCTAATAGAAAATGAAATGTGCCTGCTTTGTAGGAACGCCTGTAATGTTCTTTTCCCACTTCGCCTCGCTCTGATCTGTGCAGGGAAAATATCGAAACGTACCAGCATCCTGCTGGCTTAAGTGCTTCAAAGAACAGCAGGTTTTTGTGTGTTTCAGTAGCCTGGCTGCTCATTAAGAAGGCAGGAGACTCCATGGAGGAGAACAACATGGATTGCTGTCCTCTGGAATAAAACCTGCCGGGGCTGATTGTAGGTCTGCGAGCGTTGGTGTGCTGCAGGTTTGGTGCAGACTGGGCTGTGCTGAATAACAGACCCTGAAAAGCCTGAGTTAATCACTTTAGCTGGTTGTTACAGGACTGCTTTCCTGTTCTGCGTGGGGAGAGAATTCAGAATGGTTGAATGGGAGTGAATTCAGAGACTCTGGGCTTCAGGATGGATCTAGAACTCGGTGGCTGTTGGGCTGAGCCTCTCAGTGAGTGGTGCAGCAGGTAGAAAGCTACAGGAAAACTGATTTTCTTTATTTATCATTTCACAAATAGCAGTTTTGTCTCTGGTTTCCAAATTTGGGGTTTGCTTCATTTTATGATGCTGCCCCAGTCCATTGATAGAGGTGAAGTTGTTGGGTCTGAAGGTTCTCTGGTGTTTTCTGTAGGTTACCAGTGGTTGTAGGCAGAGTTTAAGGAGAGTAGTATAAGTTAGCAAGATTGGGTTCTATGTAAATACCTAATATTGAAGTTTGTATGAATGATGATACTAATAAGAAAATCAGTATAGAAGTACTTTGTGTTTGTTCATTGCACTGGCACTGGAGATGCCTGCAGAATTCAGTTTGTAATTCACTATATGTGCCTTTCTATATGGAAATATAACTTTGAGTTATGCTAGCGAGATGCTTTTCATCTGTATAGATAATTTCCAGCTCATTTTTCCAGTATTGTTACAAAAATTGAACCTGAATTGATCTCAGAGCCAATACCCTGTGTTACATTAATTGTTAATAGTGTGTCTCTCTGGTTCCTGTCACCCAGGGCTGTTAACATGAATGCCTCTAACTGGTGCCTTGTGTTCAAGGTCAGGCCTGGGCTGTTCACGCCTCCTGTGCCTCGGCTTGCCAAGCCCAGCTCTGGGCAGGTGGGGTAGCAGAGCTCAGGCTCGGACAGGTCCCCGCTGGCAGTGGGAGTGCAGCTGCCTCTGCTCTGGGACTGGGTGCAACCAGCCCCAGCCCAGGCCTGGCTGCAGCTCCACCTTGGAGGCTCCCCTTGGCTGTGTTCTGTGCTGGAGGTGGCTGGGGGAGGTTGGAAGGAGCCTCAAGCACACTCTTGTTTTGTTGTCATGATCTGCACAAATTGTTTTCAAGGCACAGTTTTCCTTCTGCCATCAGGAGTGGAGCTCCCTGAGCTGTCTGGAGTAATCAGCTGAAATTTGTGTGTGAGACCTCTGCAGTTTTCCACTCTGCTCCTGCCTTTCCTTCCACCTTGTTCCTGCTCCTGCCTTTCCTTTCCACCCTGTTCCTTTCATTCCTTCCACTCTGCTCCTTCTCCTGCCTTTCCTTCCACCTTGTTCCTGCCTTTTTTTCCACCCTGTTCCTTTCATTCCTTCCACTCTGCTCCTTCTCCTGCCTTTCCTTTCCACCCTGTTCCTTTCATTCCTTCCGCCCTGCTCCTTCTCCTGCCTTTCCTTCCACCCTGCTCCTGCCTCTCCCAGAGCAGTTTTAGCCATGTTGTTTGCAGTGTCTGAGCCTCTCATGTCACCATACAATAAATCCTAAATGGTCATGAGGTCCAGGAGAGTTTGGAGGCTGGCCCAGGCAGGAGAAGGCCTCTGTGCTGCTTTTACACAGAGGCTTGGGACAGACCTGGCTCTTTGAGGCTTTTTTTGTTTCTCAGAATGCAGCACTCAGTGAACAATACTCGTACAAATTAAGTAATAAATTATTTTTTTGAAAGTTCAAAGCTACTTATGAGTTTAAAACCATGCCAGACACCTTAGTTAGAGATGTTTTATGTTCACCCTACCAGACAGAAATCTGAAGACTCCCTTGCCTTGTTTGCTTTTCAGTATTGCAGGAGTTATGGCCACTTTTGGGGGCTGGACTTTTAGAACAAATTACTGAAATTCGTGGTGGAGTCTGGGGGTCATGGCTAAAATTCAGCAGCCAGACACTGATTTAATCTCTCTCCTGTATAACCTCATAGAGACTCCCCTGCCCTTCTG